AATCGATGCGGAATATTGCTTAGAATAATTATGTCAAGTTTCATTCCGATCGGACAAGTAATGACGTAGCCTTAGGGTTTTTTCGAAGAGCGTCGCTCCCTAACAACAACAACAACAACAACAACAACAACAACAACAACAACAACAACAACAACAACAACAACAACAACAACAACAACAACAACAACAACAACAACAACAACAACAACAACAACAACAAGATTAGCAGTGATTGGGGACCAGTTCCTGGTCCAATAATAACAATACGAGCCGAAAATCGAAGGGGCGCATGCGTGTTTTAACAACACCACAGCAAAGAGCGTTGTTTTATCTCTATAAAAATTGAAATTAGAAGGGGATAACAACACCTCGGAATCGGAGAACAGAAATGTCGGAGCTACAGAAAATTTGTCGTAATTTTTGTTGTCCCTACGCGGGACCACCATCCTCAAAAATCAATAGGGAGTTTAAGCCCGCCGCACGCGAGAGCAAGTTGCTGAGCCAGGGCGCTGTAAAACACACAGGGTGTTTTATAGCGCCCTGGCTGAGCTAACCGCCTCGCGTGGCGGGTAGCTCAACAGGTTGCTCTCGTGTGCGGATAGTTTACGTGAGGATTTGACCTCTCGAGGCTTTGAGGAAAATATCTATCGTGTTTGATATTTTTCACCTCGCGAGGAAAAAATTTCAGCGTCTGCGGATGTTGTGAGCGAAGTGCTGAGCTGTTTGAATCAATTAGCCAATGACAAACCATAGTTTCTTCATGTGACTAGGAACAAAATGGGGGAAAATGCAAATGATTTTGTCAATTATATTGTTGTTGAGTAGTTTTCTCAACGTGTGCGGTGAAAATCATAGCTGAGCTAGCTGCCACGCGAAGCGGTTAGCTCGGCAAGTTGCTCTCGTATGCGGCGAGGACACGTTGCACTGCTGCGCTGTTACTGATCTTTATTCTGTGAACAGAATAAGGTTTGTGTCAGGCTATATTTTTAAAATAGAACCTGTTCTCAAGTGAGATATGGTCAGTGTTTCCACAACGCATCATTCAAATTTCCTTGATTTTGCTTTAAAATTTCCTTGAATTTCCTTGAAATGGGATGTAATTTCCTTGAAATTTCCTTGATTAACCGAAGTATATTTTGGCAACTAGAATTCATCAATACTTATATAAACTGAATACAGAAACAGAACGGTACATTTATTTCGTACAACTCTTAAAAACAAAGCCTTTACACAACAATTTTGAAAGCTTTAAAATGTAAAATACTAGAGTTTTAATATTGTTCTCAATAGTCAACAAATTCACATGACAAATAAATTCATATAAATTAGCCTGCACGCAGCACTCAACCTGATTCCGCCTAAAATCATGGTCTTTTTTTTTAAAGACCGTCAAAAATTGTAAATTTAGAAGATATTCAAGTTTTTCTGGATATGAAATTGACAAAATAACGCAATCCTCTTCGTTTATAAAACGATTATTACGGTGCGATTATTACGGTGCGGCTTTGTTTGCGCATGCGTAGTTTTAAAGTATATTATATGCATTAATTTAATTTATTAAATTTAAATAGTACTGTGTATCTCAAACTATAAAATAAATATCTGCATTTATTTTTTGGTTGGGAACAGGTACGCTCACGTCTTTTGACGTCTGAATGACACAAAGATATTTTAAAGCAGATACATTAGGGCCATTTATACGGGACAAAATAAGTCGCGACTTACATAAGTACTATTTAAGACGCGACTTAAATAAGAACAGCTAAAAATCCTGTTCTTATTTAAGTCGCGTCTTATCCAAGACGCGTAGTCTTACATAAGAATTTTGCACCTTTTATACGACAAACTCGCGTCTTATGTAAGTCGCGACTTATTTTGTCCCGTATAAATGGCCCTATTAAGTACATGGTCATGAAATCATCAATTTATTAGAATAAATGTTTGACAGTACCACAGAAGTGTAGAAGTTCCAGAAAACGTTTCCTAACTAGGAGTTACTATCGCGAGGAAAGTGCTGTCTTTTTGCCACATGAAATGAATGCAAAAATAACTTATATTGCATGTTATCCACACACTATGTTTATGTTTATATACTTCTAGACAATTCTCCAAAGGGAAGTTTACTTTTGACCCAATGCCAATGGTCTCATTTCCATGTTTCAACATTGGTAGCATGGCAGACCTGCACATCAACTCCGTCATCAAGGTTATATCCCCTATGTTTCCTGCACACATTTCTTTCTCGTTGATCATAATTTAATTAAGCCCAATCACAAACTTATTCTTAAATTGTGTCTTCACATTAGACTTTAATTTCCGTCCACAGTCAATATTGATTTCTTGTTTACATTTGTTGACCTTTACGGCTTTACTCCTTTAGTTTTGGTAAAATTTCCAATTTTATATTATCGGTTGTTTTGTAACATTTTTTGGGATTGTGCAGGAAAAGATCTAAATCAAGACTTCTTACAACCATTACTGGCAACTTTAGTTTAGGTTTCTAGACTTTGGCATTGTCAAGTTTTTTAAGTTTAGATCTAAGTAATGAGAACATATTGGTGTCCTAGTAATAATTTTATGCCACAATGTCAATGATCCCTAAATGTTATAGATCAAAAAGTGTAGTGTGAAATAATAATAATGTGATGGCCTTTATATGTTGTTGGCACATTAATGTGCGACTATACAAATTATGTTGTATTTGATGAAACTGAGGGTAAAAAATAAAAACAACGACGTGTTATTCTAGTTGTATAAATGTGAACTTAGTATAAAGAAATATATTAAGTACAGGTGTAAGGGTAAAATATATCCTGCATGTGATGTGGTGTAAAAAAATATTTGATCCGAGTATGCGCAGTCTTCACATCTCTGAGGACTCTGAGGATGAGTCTGAAATGAGAAATGAAACAATACTCAATAGACTTGCCCTCCGCAAGTGTTTTAAGTTTAGATATAGCTAATGAGAAACCATATTGCCTTATTAGTGTCCTACTCCTATAGTAATAATTTTATGCCACAATAACAATAGTCCTTATAAAATGTTAGATCAAAAAGTGACCAGTGTGAAATATAATTATATGATAATGTATATGGCCCAAGACAAGCGTTAAGTAATACTCAATTGTCGCGACTCGCGAAAATATTCCGTGCCATACTGTACTCTGTAGATAGTTAAATTGAATTAAGACCCCGTTTACATGGTACAGGACGAATTTGGGATCGGTCTGAAATTTGTCCTTTTTCGCCTGTTTACACGCGAATTCGTCCTGTTAGGGTGTCTCAAATTCGTCCCGTTCCGTGGTTCTCGTGTGTTTACACGACCGAAACGGACGAATTTCAGACCGGTCCCAAATTCGTCCGGTACCGTGTAAATGGGGTCTAAGACCCCGTTTACAAGGTACCGGACGAATGGACTAAAATTCGTCCGTTTCGGCCGTGTAAACACACGAGAACCACGGAATCGGACGAATTTGAGACCCCTAGCAGGACGAATTCGCGTGTAAACAAACGAAAAAGGACGAATTTCAGACCGGTCCCAAATGCGTCCGTTACCGTGTAAACGGGGTCTAAGACTCAGACAAAACAGCGAGACATAAAACTATATCCCGTCTTTGTCCTTCTGCCTTCGTGCAGTACGAAGTCCACGACGAATTTTGCCTAGACTGCGAGCAATCCCTCTATTTTCCTTCGTTTTATTGTTTCCCGGACTAAGACGGAAATCGCGGGAAAATGGCAAAAAAAAATTTTCCAAAATATTCGTTCCGAACGAAGGCAGAAGAACGAAGACGTGTGATATATATGGCCTCATATCTCGCTGTTTTGACTTTTGTCCTGATCAGCCTGACTCACAGAGATCAGGGTAAGGATTTGGGTCGGCATTCATAAGAAACTAGGGCTATAGGCATGAATCTCTAATCTGTCTTCACCCCTGACTCAAAACTCAGAATGCGCAAGATAATGTGCAAGGCAGGCAAAAATTCGGTCAACTACGTCGTCGTCGTCCTACTTCGACAGTCTTCGTTCTCTTGCTTAAACTCTCTAATTCGGAACACAGACACAGCCTAGTTTGTTCGATCTTGAATTTTTTAACACACTCTTAATTAATTGGCAAATTGCATGCACGAAACTACTTACGGTGACCTTACAAAAGACGCGGATATTGCGATAAATATTCACTTCTATAATAAGAACAATTTCTCTTCTTTTTCTCTCGTGTAAATATATATATATATTCCTTTAATATTGTGATTGACTGTAAATAATTTATTACATAACACAATACAAACTAGCATAACTAGAGACCTAAATAAAAAGTCTACTAAGATTTCTAGTAGGTCTCTAGCCCGCACTCTACAATTATTGTAAATATACTACACATAAATTTATTGTACATGGGGAAAATTTTTAAAATAAGATAACAACTCAAAACATTTACCAGACTAACAATACCGATATATAGCACTATTTATTCACTTTCATATCATATCTTGTATCACAAGCGCATTATGAATGTATCACAAACATATGAAACTAGTTTTTGTACATACGAAAAAACCGCATCTGACTGTAATTATAAACTAGTGAAAAGTTAACGCACAATTACTTTTGATACACTACGAGTCTACGTACAGACAGTATATAGTCATTGTTATTGCATGCGGAACTATAAAGTATAAACTACACGCCGTCCACCCACGCGCAGCCCACCTACGCAAGGAAGGGGATAATAGACGAGATAATTTATTCGGGGTAATTATTCGAGGATAGTCAAGGGATAAGATGTGGGTAGAAACTCGATCTCTGATTGGACAAAAAAAAGTCGGACGTCTGCGAAACTACCTGTTACATTCAAATGAGGCCCCAAAGAGGAGCAAAGTTATCCGCCGGTTGCGCATAAAAGAGCGGTCAAGATACAAACAAGTCATTCGTTATCTCTGCTCTCAAAGCAACACTGTTGAAGATTTTAATCGAAGCTGTTCTATCTCGAAAACTAAAAGATGTCTGGACGTGGTAAAGGTAAAGCCAAGGGAACCAAATCGAAGACACGTTCATCAAGAGCTGGACTTCAATTCCCAGTCGGTCGTATTCATCGTCTGTTGAGGAAAGGCAACTACGCCGAGCGAGTTGGTGCTGGTGCCCCAGTTTACTTGGCAGCCGTGCTCGAGTATCTGTCCGCTGAAATCCTTGAGTTGGCTGGTAACGCTGCCCGGGACAACAAGAAAAGCAGGATCATCCCAAGACATTTGCAATTGGCCGTACGAAATGACGAGGAATTGAACAAACTGCTGTCTGGTGTCACGATCGCACAAGGTGGTGTTTTGCCCAACATCCAAGCCGTCCTCTTGCCCAAGAAGACCGAGAAGAAAGCGTAAACTCGAACATTCAAGAATTAAACAAAACGGCTCTTTTAAGAGCCACCAATTTTACAAAAGAATTAACGGAATCTAGATATGCTCGTGTGCGAAAGCGCGCCATGTATGACATTTGTATGTATGTCTGGGTTGCGCGAATGTTGTCGTCCGTTTATAATTGTTACATTTCTGAATTTCGTGCAATAGCCCCCGATGTCAAAAACGCAACTATTATACAACATAGTAAGGAAATACAAGCGGATTATTCTGAGCAATAGTTTCGAAACTTCGATGAAATTATACAAGGGTTAAGGTCATATTATTTAGCCAGGCATATATAAATAAGCAACAGTATTTTGAATAGGTATTAAATATCTTTCGACATATTCATAACCAATATTCAACATGAAATTTTCTTCGATCCTTATGGAATCCTTTTAGGACTTTGTTTTGTCAAACAATTCTTCAATGCCTTTCAGATAAAGTTCTCACAAATTATACAATGATTGTTCTATAATTTTGAACTAGCACTTCACATATCATCTATCAACATCGGTCATGCGGATATTTAGGGTCAAATACAAAACGCCAATAAATTTAGTGATTCAAAAATCAAGTCTGTTTATAATTTACCAGTAAACTAGCGTGTTTATAATTTACCAGTAACTAGCGAATACTAAGGGCCAGAACTGTGCAATTATTGAAAACTTTCGGTCATGGTAATTGGAAACGGGAAAGCAGATCCGCACGCATGTGGAGATTGGAAATATTTGCCTGACATGACTGTGTTGTCAAAACATTTTTAGTCGGAGACTCGGCATAATTTTCAAGCTTCTAGATATATATCATTTAATATGGCTTTATATTTTAGTAAACACGAGTCATATTTAGCCAGTTAATCCATTCTGAACGTATGGCAGCGAAACGTAGCCTATTTCATTGTTCCGACAGCATTAGAGCAGAACTAATGACTTAATTATAAACGCAAAGGAAATTTCCATAACATTTTCTATTTACAAATGAGGTATGCTTGGTAACCAGGCCAGGGACCACTTTTTTGAAATCAGGGACCATTTTACCGAAATCTGCTAGGCTGTCGCTGAAGCACAGCACACCCAGGCATAAAACTTTTAAGACTCATTTAAATATATCAAAGCAGCGAATAGAGAGAGAGAGCCTGGGACTAGGCTGGTCTCTAACTATAAAAATTCAACTCAAAATTCCCATCTACAAAAACGCATGCCTAAAATCCTGATAATGATATCTTCGCATAATAAAAGAAAACTTCTCCTAACATTTTACCATTTAAAGTTTAGCATATAAATTCCAACTATATATTTTTAACTTTTTATTGAGTATTAAAACTTAGGATAGTGTCTCACAGACATTCATACATGTATAATATTGTATTGTGGTGAGGGCTTCATTGAAAAGCATCTTGGGATGAATGAATTCCCTCAATAAAATATTATTAATAGGCTAGATTTACACAATTTCCACAAATGTATAGCGTTCAAAACTTATAGATATGTTTATATAAGATGAATAAATGAATTACCTCTGACATATTGAAACATAACAGCATCTTCTAGCTTGCGATGGATCGAGATTGTTGCAAATTTGTGATGCGACGCCATGCGATTGTCATGTTTACTGCCAGGCATGTAACCAAAATTTTGGTGAATTTTCCTGGAAAAAATAAAGGTTTTCGTGTTGCTGGTGTTATGTACTCAGGTGAAGATATATGATTGCGATGTGTCTCTGAAGTCGTGTTTACACTACAAGCGTTGGCCTAGCCTTGGCCAGGCCAAAGTAAATGTGGCGCGTTTACACCATTACACTATTTTTTTGAGACTGGCTCACTTTGGCCTAGAATTTTGTTATCAATTTTGTGTATTTTTATGTGTTGCGACGTTGTCTGCTGGTTGTCCGCTAGTCTCTCACTGTGGACAAACGTTGCCATGAAAATAAGGTCCAGGCCAGCCGGGCCGAAAGTGTTTACCGATTTCCACAAGCCTCGGCCAGGCCTAGATTTCCTGGCCTGGGTCAGGCCAAGGCTAGGCCAAAGTCTGTTTACACTTTCAAAATGTAGGCCAAGGCTGGTAGTGTAAACACGACTTGAGTGTGTCCATACTGGGCAAGCGAAAGTTTGCTTGGCCGCGGTGGGAATCGAACCCGCAACCTTTGATTTGCTAGTCCAACGCTCCACCAACTGAGCAACGAGGTCAAGTCGGTTCGAGTGCGTCATATTTCGGAACTAATCGATATATCAGTATGTTTTCATGATCTTGAATCCGAGTTTCTGGTGTTATGTACTAGCAAACCAAAGGTCGGACTAACAAACCAAAGGTCGGCGGATTCGATTCCCACCACGGTCAAGGACAAACCTTTCGCTTGTCCGGTGTGGATACACTCGGAGAAATATCGCAATCGTATAAAAATAAAGGTATTCAAACAAAATACCTGAAACTCTGAAAGTGCAAGTCGTAATGTATAGCCACGTGGGTTTATAGACAAATTACTTAAAGGACATTGGCGATAAAAATGTAGTTTATTTCATTTGAAAGGACTTTAAAATAATTTTGAAATCATTTGACTGAAAACAGTGGGCTGCCCGCCATCTTGGATTAGTCAGGATATGCTTATGTTACGTCAGAAGTCGGAACAGATCAGTGAACTCTATATAAACTGGAACGACAACTCCAGTGATCAAGTTCTAGTTGGTTGAAGCCAAATCTGAAGCCAAGCGCGGGATAAATCAGCCTAGTCCCTAGGCCTCTTGCGCGTTTTTGCATATTAATGAGGTGACGGGGGATAAATTAACTTTCAAAAGGACTAGGGAGAGTTTCGAGGTGCGGGAAATTCAATCTCGTTCCCCGAGCCTGCGATCCTCGGGAAGGAACGCGAGGCTCTGGGATAATCCGTTGCCGGAAGCCAGGAATCCTGGCTAAGATTGAACTACGCATTCCATTTCAACGGCCAATCAGATTCCTCCCTGAAACGGATTATCCCAGAGCCTCACTTCCTTCCCGAGGATCGCAGGCTCGGGGAACGAGATTTCGGGAAATTTAGTCAAACGTTTGTTTTGAGCGAAAATTAGCAAGAAAAAGTAGTTTATATCAAAAGGCTTCAATTTTAAAGATTCCACCCTGGTTTTCTGGATAGTTCTAAGTATTTTATATCCACTAACGGCAAACAATTTGCATGGGTAACATTTTCCTATTCAAAATATTACACAAGTTTGAACGTGCCGAAAAAACGTCGCACTTTGGGCGCTTTCCATTTAATAGCCTGACCGGTCAGACCCCAATTTTTTTCTCTGTATCAATGGAAAGGTCTGGTCTATGTTTCTCAAATATCTAGCGAAAATGGACCTCATTCTAATGTTATCTAGGTTTTACGGTCATGCAGATAGGGCCGAAGCCCAAACGTTTTGTGTCCAATTCAACCGTTCTGACCGGTTTGGCCGTGTTAATGGAAAGCACCCTTTGACACTTGAGAAAATAACTTTAAAACAATAATCGTTTCCCACGGGTACTAATTCGCTAAAGACTCATTATAAACAGATCCATGTTTGAAATAGCAGACAATTTCAGCCACGAAGCAAAGTAATTTTATTTTTTCTGGATCAAACGCCGGAAATAACTCTCTTTATGAAACCCCTCTTCTAATCCATTTAGCTACATTAGATCAGGCCTTAAAATATCGGTCGGTCACGGACATGGTCCGACCCAATCTTAAAATTGTCCGACGTAGAGGGGAAACCACCGGACATTCTGTCCGACCAAAGTGAAACTGAGGTTTATTGTTTGTCCGACCCGAGTGTATTGGTGTCCGACCGAACTGTAGCTTTGTTCAACGTAAATAAAAATGTACCCTAGCCCAGGACTAGAGGCTTGTATGTTAAATGGAAAATCAGAGTACCATTGTATAAAAGGTGAACTGGAAATGTTGTTTTAACGTAGTCGAGCGCGAGGCGGCGAGCGAAATGGTTAAGTGGAAAACGGTCTTAAGCTGTCGAAGTCTTTTTTAATACTGCTGTTCTGGCAAGCAAGTTAATTTTGGCTTGGAAATAAGTATGAAAGAAACAAATTATTTAATATCTTTACAACATTTACCGTTTATTCATTTGTGTCATTCAGACTTATTTCCGAGTCAAAAATGAACTGAAGGTCATCGGACATATGTCTGACCCAAACTCAACGTCACCGGACATTTTGTCAGACGGCCCTGGAAAAGATATTTTAAGGCCTGCATTAGATGGTGATCATTTTTTTATACATAAGAAGTGCTCTATCTAATGTGAAATCCAATTCTCTTGCAATTTCAAGTTATTGGACACTACATACGTATTATTATATATCTAATCAAGTTTATCCCCGAAATATAAAACAGCGGTAACTCCGAAAATAAACATTTTAATATTCTAGCTTTCGACTAAGATTCAGTCATCATCAGGAATGATGCTAGGCTAAGTAATTTGAATCACTTACTTAATCTTCACTATATCGATGTAATGTAACCTAGCATCCGATTCCTGATGCTTAGTCGAAAGCTAGAATATTAAAATGTTTATTTTCGGAGTTAACGTTGTTTCATAATTTATTAAAATACTCGGTGGTTCCCGTAATTTTATCCCCCAAAATAGCAATTTTTGATGTCACATCATTTTAAATATTCACGACACTTTCTGACTTGATGGTTTTCTTGTAAGAAGTTTGGCATGCTTCCGCCTGAACGTTGGGGATAACAAAGAAACCATAGGACACTGCGGGTAATTTTATGATCTCTGGGGGTATTATTACTTTAGGTTGAACATTTGGTAAATATGTATCATTTACCATTTGAAGTAGATCACCATTTAATCTAACAGTCTGTGACGTCAGATTATTATTTTCCCCGGGTGTTAACAAATATTGGTGCACCGGCAGTTTTTCAAGTCCATTTGTCAATACCAACTGTATTTCATTGTGTTGTGTGTTGAGAGCGATTAAAACTAAACTCCCAGCGTCGTAACCCGACTTCTCTGATGTACAATGAGCATAGACACGGATAGTACGACCCAGCGATATACCATCATGCACTTCGAGCACACGAGATCCGACCAGTTTCTTATACAAGAACGCTGACCAGTAATCTGGGAAGGGGTCCAAAGTTTTCTGGTTTATCAGCGAATACGATCCTCCATAAAATGTCTGTCTTATAACGACATTATGTTCGAGTCTTGCAGCAACACCAAGTTTATCAAGCCACATGAATCCAGCGATATAACTATCAGAGACACCAGGTACTCCCCCTCCATACGCACTAGAGGTTTCTCCTAGCCAAGGATCAATGGAACTCGCACCAGACTCTCTCATAATGCTTTGTAATTGTTGTATGTCTGTAATGAGGTCGTCTAAAAGATCTGGATCGTAAAACTCGGATACCTTTGCTTGGTTATTGGTGTAATATTGATGATATGTCATGGCATCTATACTTCCGTCTATGTTGGTTAAAAATTCTTTCAAATACTTATTCCTAAGTGGTGGTCTCCATGGTGACGACACATCCGGTCCAACAAGCATTTGACCATATTCAGGATGCGCATTCAAAAGTTTTCGAAGAATTTTAAAATCAAAAGCCAATTCTTTACCGGTTATTGTTCTATTTACCAGGCCGTGTAGATCAAAAGGCTCGTTCCCAAGCTCCCAACCGCACGTGAAACTATGGCTAGCGACGTACCTCATCAACTGCTGCGCATTGGTAGAATTCCAGTAGTGAGTTTTGGAATCTCGCAAGAGAACATTTAGTCCAAAAATTATACTCAATCCACTTTCTTTGGCAAATTTGAAAAGGTTGTCTACGTCCTTTGTTGTCATTGTGAAGTTGGTATAAGGACGCGTTAATTGTTCACGTGCTGTTGTGTTACGATCCATACCTTGATCACGTGACGATTTGTGTGCGTCAATGCGGTGTTCACGTGATATTGGGTTATGGTACACAGGTTTATCACGTGAGGTTGCGTGGGGATCCATGCCTTGTTCACGTGACGTTGTCTTGCGATATTCTTTGTATGGATCAAACAATAAAAAATCTGCATCTGTTCCGCCTATTCGCAGGAAAGCAGGCGCTAATCCCTTCGCAAGGTTCTGAAGCTTTACTGAACTGACGTTAAAATGTTCCCAATTACGTCTGATCAATGATGAACCTAAAGCTACCGAGAGAAACTGCTCGGCCGTCTTGTAGACGCATTTCTCCGTATTGATGTACACTTTGTAGGATTCGGTTACATTCCCTTGCGCGCAATGTTCTGGACATGGCAGAAAAATGGAAAGAAAATATATGTACAATAAGCACGTCCAATCCATGAGCTTTAACATAGCAATTGCAACCTTCGACGAACTTGCTGGAATGATATTGTGTTTCAATATGCAATAATTGCATAGGAAAATAATTTCAATTCGTTGGTGTAATATTTCAGTTGCATTGTGTTTCAATCAGTCAATTCTGCGCAACTGGCAAAGACACGAAAATCAATTTTTCAACACTCGGGCTAATCGTTTCCTATCACAATAGGATGTTTTGAAATACATCTCGTTGCTGAAGTTTATACCACATTTATTTACTTATCACATCTGAGGGATTGCAGAAAACAAATAGTGCGTCAAATGAACACCGTCTCAGACATTTTCACATGGCGTTTTCGCATGCTACGACATTGGCAGGATCAGCTACGACAGAGCTGCAGCACAAGTATTAACTAGAAGTTAATACTATCGCAAGGGGGAAATGCTGCCGTATGACCAGAAGTTGTTACTCCCCCTGATTGCAAATATTAAACCAGAATGAAGAAGATTCAAGATCATAACGTGGTTTATTTTAAGCATTTGATTTATTCACATTGCTTATTCACATTTATTCATAGCAACCTTGACATTTCTATTAACTAGCTGACCTCCAACAAGCTGCTAAGACCGTCTGTTCACACCAGGCTAGGTGCTCAATCCACAAGACTCATCAAAACAAACATAATTACCTCCAAAATCACATTACTGGCCATGCATATTTACAAATAACTAATTTGTTTTGATATTGTCTGATTTATGTCTTCATTTAATTTTTTTCATTTTCTCTACAATCAAGTCATCATTTCTGGGGTCTGTTCAAATGAGCCCGTTTTGCCGGGAAGCTTGCCTAAATGCGATTAATTATTTCGGTGTTCATATCATATGACTGTTTTTATCCTACCTAATATCCCGCCACGATGGGTCGATGGAACATTATGGAAACATGGCGGTCTTCGAAATATTTTTGTTGTACCGAAACAAACTGCATCCTGTATTACGACTTTAATAGTGTCTGTTTTGACTGTTTAAGTCTATTAATGTTTATTTTTTGTTTGTATTTTGCAACTATGTCGTTCAATACTATATAAATTCTAGATCAAAATCGGCAAAAAATATCCATCCTTCATAATGGAAAATGTTATCCCATTTGACTGCCGGAGTTGCCACCTAGTGCAAGATGAGATCTCACCTCACCGGGTGTCTCGTTTCTCATACACTGGAAAAAAAAGTGAAATCCATAATACGAAATTTGCAATTGCACCACTAAATCCATAGTATATCCATACTATTTCCTTACTATATCCATACTATGGGAATATACAATTATTATGGATAACCGGAATCCATTCTATCTCCAATAAAGGTCCATGCAATTTCCATTCTATGACCTTCTATGGAATTTCAAAATTTTTCTCAGTCAGGATATGAACACAAATTGAATTTTATATGCGTTAACAAAGAGCATACAGATCTCACTCTGGTCAATTTCCAGGTTCACAGGAACAAGCCCTGAATCACATCTCAAGCTGTCACGTAGCCAAGCAAATAAACGCCTGCTGAGAACCTTCCCTTTGAACACCTTTGCTTTGACTATCAACTTAACCTCAGACTGGATTATGAAATTTGATCCGATCTTTATTTTCACATAGGAAGTGAAATTCTGTACACATGCGACTACAATGGACAGTGTTCTTGTTTTCCACGTATTACTTGCTTCGGCGTCCTATCTATTTGCTCCCATCGATGCATTTAATGATAATTATGAAGTCTACATCAACACGAAGCAATGTGTCCACAAAACTGACCAGAAATTTCTTTCAATCGCCCTGGATTCGAGTCTGATCAGATATCGTTGGGACCATTTCAACTTCAGTTCAGAAAAGCTACAAAACCTTGCGAAAGGTCTGGCGCCAGCTTACCTACGAATTGGCGGAACAGATGAAGACTTCTTGTGGTTTAATCCAGATGAAACGTATCGCAAGAATCCGTCGCACGATAAACGCACGGACTCGCAAAAAATGTCACGTGATCCACACATTAATCCTAATACAATGCCACGTGATCAACGCATGCATCCTTTTACTAACTTCACAATGACCACAAAGGACGTAGACAACCTTTTCACATTTGCCAAAGAAAGTGGATTGCGTATAATCTTTGGACTGAATGTTCTCTTACGAGATTCCAAAACGCATCACTGGAACTCTACCAATGCAGAACAATTTATGAAGTATATCACTGGTCGTGGCTTTACCTGTGATTGGGAGCTTGGGAACGAGCCTTTTGATATACACGGCCTGATAAACAGAACAATAACCGGTAAAGAATTGGCTTTTGATTTTACAATTCTTCGAAAACTTTTGAATGCGCATCCTGAATATGGTCAAATGCTTGTTGGACCGGATGTGTCGTCACCATGGAGACCACCACTTAGGAATAAGTATTTGAAAGAATTTTTAACCAACATAGACGGAAGTATAGATGCCATGACATATCATCAATATTACACCAATAACCAAGCAAAGGTATCCGAGTTTTACAATCCAGATCTTTTAGACGACCTCATTACAGAAATGCAACAAGTACAAAGTATTATGCGAGAGTCTGGTGCGAGTTCCATTGATCCTTGGCTAGGAGAAACCTCTAGTGCGTATGGAGGGGGAGTACCTGGTGTCTCAGACAGTTATATCGCTGGATTCATGTGGCTTGATAAACTTGGTGTTGCTGCAAGATTCAAGCATAATGTCGTTATAAGACAGACATTTTATGGAGGATCGTATTCGTTGATAAACCTGAAAACGTTGGACCCCTTCCCAGATTACTGGTCAGCGTTCTTGTACAAAAAACTGGTCGGATCTCGTGTGCTCGAAGTGCATGATGGTATATCGCTGGGTCGTACTATCCGTGTCTATGCTCATTGTACATCAGAGAAGTCGGGTTACGACGCTGGGAGTTTAGTTTTAATCGCTCTCAACACACAACACAATGAAATACAGTTAGTATTGACAAATGGACTTGAAAAACTGCCGGTGCACCAATATTTGTTAACACCCGGGGAGAATAATAATGTGACGTCACAGACCGTTAGATTGAATGGTGATCTACTGCAAATGGTTGATGATACATTTTTACCAAATGTTCAACCTAAAATAATAATACCCCCAGAGATCATAAAATTACCCGCAGTCTCCTATGGTTTCTTTGTTATCCCTAACGTTCAGGCGGAAGCATGCCAAACGTCTTGCGAAAAAATAACTTTGGAAAAATTCGCGAAAGTTTAAGAAAACTTGAAGTGAATGTTTGTATTCAATATGGGACAAATTTGATTTTGGATTTATTGAACTTTATATAGAATCACACCAAAAGTTGGATTACTTTATATTAACGATTAAGAATTATCTAAAATGAAGAAGAGTAAATGGACATTGAACATTATAGCTACATGATTGCAAAAATTGGTAGATTGTTTGTTTAAAAATTTTTTGGCACTCACAAATATTTTAACGTCAGGCTATCAAAGGGAAATGCACATCAGGATTTTATATTTTATATTGAAAAGACAAAACACATCTTGAAATACGAGTTTGTGATATTTCGATTTTAATTCAAAATCATCATTAGAAATTGGAAGCTGTTCAATAGGGATAACCCCTCAACTTTCCTTCAAGACAAATTGGACATGAGAATAAATTATGTTATGTTAATTATGTTAAGATGATTTTGAAACAAAATCGAAATATCACAAACACATTCTCGTCTTGTTTTGACTTATATCTTGAGTTCCAAGATAATAATCTTCGGATTGTGTTTTGTTTTATACTTTTTGAAATTGTCGACTGGTATTGGGGTTTTACAAGATTATGCTCAATGAGGATGCACAATATTTAACAATGTTTATTTTTTTTTTGTATTGGTATTGTTTAAAATAAATATCTCATTTTCTCTGGAGAGTAACACTTTATACTGTTGTTATAGTTGTTATAGTTGTTATACATGGATTTCATTTCAAAAAAGAATACAGTCATATATATTAATGTATCTTTTGAAAACTTATAAGTTGTCTTAATGTTATTAACGACGCTTTCCGAAATTATAGATATTAAATTTTTATCGGCTCCTTTCATTTCTTTTTTTTTGCCGTCCAACAATACTTAAATAGTTACAAGAACAAATGGCTCAGGAACATCAACAAGGCATGAGCCAATTACGTTGATGACCTGGTTTACACATACAATCTCCACGATATAAAATATATATGCACACACAATCGTACATGCAATACACTTTCGATAACCACGTCACAAAATAATCCTTCCCCGACTTAGATTTTCGTTCGTTATTAGGTTATTAAACAATTGATTGACATCATAGATATCTTATGTACACTAGATAGTGCATCTAATTATTCTGCAATTCAAAAATTGAAGCCGTGATTGCAGTCTCAGGTCGTTCCCATGAAATGAGAAGATTCGTATGTTTTCTATTTCTTAAACAGGGAACTTAAACATTAAGTTATCCCTACTCCAAATACGTTTTTAAACTATTCAAATTATAAAAGTTATTGTTGTTTTTAAGCGTTTATTAGCAAGTGGGAACGACCAACATGGCCGCCATCTATTCAAATGGGGGTAACCGCTGGAATATTTTTTGCTTCAATTTTACTAAAAGAGACGCGCTATCTAGTGTATATAAGATATCTATGATTGACATGTATAAGTATACCATGTAACTGTACATAACTGTACTATGTATCTGCACATTTAAATCAAATTACTTTTCCAAATTGTGCTGATATTAATTTGTTTGTTTTTAGAGTGTATAATTAAAAAATTATTCTGTTACCAAGTACGACACACCAGTCAATAAATTATTTGACAGTTATGCGAATAATAAAAGTATAGGAAGAAATCGAGAAAAATAAAATATAGTAATTTTAAAAGGCTTTAAGATTATCATTAAGAAAATCCGATAATAATTTGGCAAATTGGTTATTAGAAATTTAATTTCAAAATAATTGAAAAACAGAGGCAGTTGGCTAGATTGCTTATTTCTTTGCCAAAAGTGAGAGGAACATGGGAAGTACAAGTATTCTGGCGTTTTGTATTATCGGCTTCCTGGTGCTATCTAGCAATGGCTCATGGGTAAGTCTGCAACCGCAATGGTATATATATGTCTTGAAATTTACATTCAGGATTTTAAGCATCAGGCGTGGAAAAAATAGGCGAGTACTGATCGCAGGAAATGTTAAACAGATGCAGGAAATTCGTTTGAATGAAGATTTGCTATTGAAAATTTAAAGGAAACCTTGACACCCATGTCCCACTATGGGCGCAACAACATATGGTTGACAGACATTATTCCTTGAATTTAAAACCATGGTCAGCTAAAACACTGTATGTAGATGCACATGCAGATTTAGCACAAAAATACTCAGTTGTCTGCAGGAAATTTTGGTCTCCATGCAGAGTGTGGTCCCAGGAAGAAAATTCTTTTTTCCTGCCTTGTTGAGCATCTCACTCAATATATTGTTGATGGAAAGTTTTTGTAGATGAAAATTTTCGAGTGTAAATTTCATACATTTATTTAAACCTAACCAGGAACAGTTGCGAAAAATACAACTATAGGCGCTCTGGCAGGAATCGAAACTGCGGCCCTGTGATTCCGGTGCAGCGCTCTATAACCAACTGAGCTACAGAGTCCAGTTGTCGAGCTATAACCGCAAGTTTATGGATGTTGGGCATATCATGAACTTGAAGGAGTTTTATAGATCAGGGTTCGTAGTCTCCAAGACCAAAAAATTTCAAAGACTTTCAAATATTTTTTCTGCCTATTGTCAAAGACTTTTCAAAGACCTTTGAGAGCAATCATGTGTCGAAAAATTGCGTTGTATAAGCACCATTTCTACCAGGTAATTAGTCCCGTCAAATCACATCCTAAAATGCACTTTTTCGTCGATATTTGCGAAAATTTTGCTTCAATCAATCTATTTTATTAGCTAGGAAATCGTATAATAAAATAATCACTAAAGAATTTAAAGACTTTTAAAGACGTTCTTCGCTTTTTCACACACTTCAAAGACTTTCAAAGACCTTAAAGACCTGCATGCATTCAAATTTAAAGACTTTCAAGGATTTCAAAGACCGCTACGAACCCTGTAGATAGAAATTTTGAACGTAAATTTTATACATTTTTAGACCTTCCTGCCAGCAGGCGTTTTTTAAGTTTTTTTATATATTTAGTCACCCGTAACCTGAAGATGCAGTGATACTCCGAAAAGTAGAGTTTCTCTACAATATGGTCTAATTATTCGAACACTGTGACAGAATTGTAGTCAGCAGACTTGCATCAATAGAAAGCTTACAAAAACTACATACAGTATAAGACATTTTTAAAATGGTTAGCTGGGATTTTCAAGTGGTTTTCGACTTATTACCGATTCAAATGTGAAAAATAAGACAGAAACGTGCTTACCAGCATGCCTGTCAGATGTTGGGATCCTAGGTAGCGACGCTATCAGGGGCGGCGGAACAGGGGGGCTAGGGGGCTAAAGCCCCCCCAGAAGCAAAAGTGGGGGGGGCTTAGCCCTCCCCAGAAAATTTTGTTTTTTCTGGAAAAATTTTGATAATTAAGGAAACATTTAGTGTATTTTTTGAAAATTTAGGTATAAGGGGAAAAATTTGCAATATTTTGTTTAAAAATTGTATATGTCCGGAAAAATTTTTTGTTATAGGGCCGAAAAAATTTTTTCATCCCTTTTCTTGTATATGTCCGGAAAAATTTTTGTACCCCTAAAATGGTACACTGACCGAAATTTTTTGGCGACGGGGGGGGAGGTGAAATCTGTTCCGCCGCCATTGAACGCTATACCTGCAAGTGCCTGAGGCTAACTGCAATCCTTGGTCAGAAGGTCTTTGCCAATAAGTTCGGTGACCCATCTTAGGATGTTGATAAAAATTTCAAAGCCCATCTAATCTTACAAAAAATGTTTCATGACCCACCCAATCTAAATTGGGAAAATACATTTTTATAACAAAAAAAACTTGCAGGTATGAACAGTGTAAATATACACGGCACTGTATTGACATATACATAATTCCACCAAGCTTGACATACTGAGCTGCTCTCCAGTTGGTTGTATTTGCTGTAATTCGACCACTTCTTGTTGTTGTATAAACAAAGTACTAGCTTCAATAGCATCATTTGCATTTGATAATTTGGATAGTCTTCTTTAATTATATTATTAATGTCTTTATTTTTTGAAGTAGACATGCACGGGTTTTTGTTTGGTGGCCCAACCGTGGACATACAAAAAAATTGGCGGCCCATCGAAACTGCCCAAAGATTTTCCATGGCCCATCCCAAATTACTCCAGCCCACCCTAGCAGTTACTTTATGACCGGTCCCTAAGAGTCGTACTCCAGACGTAAATTTATCAAATGATGCCATCAAAAACTTAAAATTTCCTGTTCTGTGGCCGAATTTTATTCACCATAGCCGACAATCTTGTCGGCTTGATATATGAAAATTTTTGAGCAATTGGGTTTGAGCAAATTAGCGTACACTCAATTTTGACAATATTAAACATAACTCAAAAAATTTCTTCGGAGGGCTAACTGCAAGTCTTTTTGGCTAACTGCAAAAAAAGTAAATATACAGGGATGCTTACCAGCCTTCAGGGCACAATATGAACGCAAAATGAAATTACCCCTCCATATGGTAAGTTTTCCATAATTTTTGTTCCTCTATCTGCCTCATGACTATTACTAAAATGCGGCTAAGAGAAAGTTCCGTCATACAAGATTTGAAAGAAGATGTATAGTTGTGTAGTTTTTTGCAGCAGCTCCTGGTAATTAGGTCTAGAAAATGTATAAAATTTGCACTGAAAATTTCCACCTACAAAAACATTTTCTGTTTAATTTTCTCTAGATGGTAATAGATCAGAATTGCCGAGCATACGAGCAAGCTTGCAAAAGTGATGAAGACTGCACTGACTGTTTTACTCATGAACTTCGTTGTCTTGGTACACCAGGAAGCTGTTTCAAACATAGCATGGATGATGCAGGTTTTTGACAACAGCACGTTGACCACCGCACCCTGCATGACATTTTATGATCTCGTTACTTAACTATATACAAAGAATACTTAATTAACTACATACAAGAATTGACTGTCTTTATGGATTAAAATATTTCTAAACATGAGGCCTGCATGACATTTTATGATCTCGTTACTTAACTATATACAAAGAACTTAGTGCTAAATAGAATTGATTGCCTTTATGGATGGATGGGTTTAAAATATTTCTAAATATGAGAAACTGTAGTCTCAGAAACATTAAATCTAACATAGACTTAAAAGAGTGTACTATATTTGTCTCATTTATAAAATTTCAATTACACTACCTAATTGTTTGCATTAGTACACATGTTTTGGGGTCCATAGTAGGGCATGGGTGTTAAGGTTTCCTTCAAATTTGCAACAGCAAATCTTCATTCAAATGAATTTCCTGCAGCTGTTTAACATTTCCTGCGAGCAGCAGCGCTCATGTGCTCACCATTTTTTTCACCCCTGAATATCAGTAATATCAACGACAAAATCACAGATACTTCTATTTTAGTACCAAAAAGCCGATAGGCCCGATACCATCGAAACTTGTACGAATATTTTTTTTTATTTTTTTGCTTGTGTCAATAATTTTTTTTAAATATAATCCCTTGCACAATTTTCTTTTACTTCAACTCATAATTTTCCCCATTGAAAAGTCGCTGCACAAACTATTTTTTTCAAACTTTCTTGGTGTACAAATTTTTTTTCTTTGTTTTCCCTTTATTTTTTTTGCTTTATCCCCAACCCCATCACTTTTCTAATGGTCCGCCCCTTAGAATATAAAAATTTTGGAACCCCCTTGGATGCAATTTGTTGAATACCCCACTACCCCAGAGAATAACTCACTATAAAATACTTAATTTTGCCATTTTTTAAAAATCTCTCAAGCCACCCTCTAGGAAAATTTAAGATGAAGACCCCTCCTCCCCTATTGGATATCCGGACCATCAACAGTGTACATATTAAATGGATGGCCCATTGAGTCCCAAACCTGGAGTCTTTTGCGAACGAAATTAAAATTGGCCTAATGTGAAACAGGCTTTTATAATAATATAAGGGACCGGTCATTATTTATGGAAG